ACTGTGGAGACGTGGGCTTCAGGACACTGTCAGCAGTGTGGTACATGTAAGTGTGAGTCCACTGGTAAAGCTAGTGAGTACAGCAGATATCTTTTCAGGCCCCTTCCCCAAGCCTCCACTTTGTATGGTTTGGATTTTATGACTGGAGATCTTGAGTAAAGGAGTACTTTAAGCTTTTCGGACTTCCTGCAGAGGCACAGGGTGGAGGTTGAGAAGTAGACTCCCCCAGTCTCTCAGTGTCATCCAGCATCTGGACTGGAGTAGTGTAGAGAAAAGAGTCGCCATGAGAACCACGGCAAGAGGTTATCTAGCTGGACAAGTGGTAGGCCAAGTTCCCTGATTATTTTATCCCTTTCCAGACAAGCCTCCCTTCCACACACACATACACCTTGGTCAGACATAAAGAAGCTTGGTATTCCTGTTACATGTTCCCTGCCCTTACCTAAACCACAGAAACATTCTTGAATCACCTCAAGGCTCAAAGACCCCTTCCATCCATCCCCAACATTGCTCCTGGATTTTCTAGAGTAAATCCGATCTTTATCACTCCCTTTTCTTAAACTTCTTGAGAGTTTAAGCACTGCTCCCTCCCCCACCCCCATTGCTTTCCTTCATTGTCCACACAAAGTAAAGCTTCTTAGCTGCACACCCAAGATCCTTCTGTTACTTGACTTTGTCTAACCTCTCAGCCTTTGCTCCCCCCATCTGACCGCATGCATCCTGGGCCCCAGCAGCTCTGAACTGCTTCCTGGGACAGGCTATGTGCTGTCAGCCTAATGAATCCCACCCAACCTGGCCTTCGAGATTCCACTGCTATGTGACTTCCCCTGAAGATTTGTCTTCCCTCTTCTTTAAGAGCTGCTCTTTGTTTCCTAAAACAGTTCGTTCATTTTCTCTCTCCCTTCCTTCCTTCCTTCCTTCCTTCCTTCCTTCCTTCCTTCCTTCCTTCCTTCCTTCCTTCCTTCCTTCCTTTCTCTTTCTTTCTTTCTCTTTCTTTCTTTCTTTCTCTTTTTCTTTCTTTCTTTCTTTTTCTTCCTGTCTCTCTCTTTCTTTCTTTCTTCCTTTCTTTCTTGAGACAATGGTCTTGCTCAGTTACCCAGGCTGGTCTTCAACTCCTAGGCTCAAGCAATCCTCCTGCCCTGGCCTCACCAAAGTGCTGGGATTACAGTGAGTCACCACAGCTGTCCTGTTTCCTAAGTGCTTTGATAGCATCTTTTGCAAACCTCACTTAACATCTACATATCACAATATACAGGAATGGATTATTTGCTTGTCTACTGTCTCCCAAAAGGAAAGAACATTAGCCTCATCCATCTTTACCCTCAGCAAAATGCCAGGTGCAAAGGGGCTCCTGATAAATGTATATTGAAGAGAAAGAGAAGGCTGACAAGCAGGAAACATGAGGAAATTAGCATGATGGATACCATGCCTCAAAACCAAAGTGACAAATGACAAAGTAATTCTCTCACTATCTTGAGAGGCTCAGGCCAGGCTGCCTGGGTTCAAATACCAGCTGCACCACTTAACTAAACCTTGTAGAAGTTACTTAAATTTTTGGTGCTTCAATTTCCTCAGCTTTAAAAAGGAAATAATGGTACCTACCACATAGGATCATTTTGAGAACTAAAAAGGCATTTAAAGGGCTTGACACGGTGTCTAGGACATGATAAGCCCTTAATAAATATTATCTACTGCTGTTATAATGATTAGCTATCCATCACCCAGCACAGCTTATTTAACTGGTTTCTATTAAGTAAAAGTAATTATTGTAGTAAAGTTGCATAAAATACTGAAATGAATCTTTGTCATTCTTTTGGCCACCTAACTCAAAATGCACTTCCTGAGTTTGGGTAATTCCTCACCTTATGAGTCTAGGTTACCTCTCACTAAGAAGCCAACATCATCATAATCATCATCATCATCAACAATAACAACAAAAGCCAGACACAGGCTGTTCAGGACACCCTTGCAGCAGGACTTGTAGCATATGATTCAGGTTTGACTAGTCAGACACACCCAAACCAGGTCTAGCAACAGGAGCTAGTAATGCCAAGCAGCAGTGACAGGAAAACTGCAGCACAACTATGCCCATTTTCCCATATGCAGCAGCAGTGGTGGTCCCAGTGGCGGCATCTAGTGCCACTGGTGGCTGTGCACGATCAGCTGCATCCTCAAAGGGCTATTTTTGGTAGCATGACCATGGCTAAGTGCTCGTCTGCTACCAAGCTCACCTTATTTTCCAAGCCTGTATCTCTATCCTACCCAGAAACGCTTTAACCCACCCAATATTCTTTTCTGCTTCTATCAGCCTGGGTTAGTTTTCCTTGGTGCAATGCATCCTGCCAGACTGGTACAGATGATCAGGTCAGATGGTTTCATAAAATGTAAGTACACTTTTTCTACTTTGTTTTATTGGTTTATTGATTTGCAGTGTTCTTTACTTGGCTCCTGCTCAGGGACTGTTCTTGGCCGATTTTTGTTTTAGTAATGCTGGTATGTTAAAGAGGGCTTTTCTGGTTTTTGTTTTTTGACAGTTACACTTTCTCTCTTTCCTTCCCATACCTTTTTCGGTGTGGGTGATTGTGTCTTAGGACAATCAAATTTTAATTGACTGGAATCTACCCTTAGGTAGAGAAAATCAGGCAACTAATGAGTATAAGAATAAAGGAAAACAGATGGAGAGGAACAAAATCAGTGCCCAGTGCAGAGGAGAGTATCACAACAGGCCTGTGAGCTCATTTAATGTAACTGGTTTATTTCACAGATAAAATACTTGAAACAAGGAACACACAGCTAATGACTCAGCCACAACTACAATAATTGCATCTCCAGACTTCTCATCCAGGGCTCCTGCCTCTATCCATTATACCAAGAGGCAAAAGGCAAATAACTACAAAGCAAGCTGAGATCACATTAAATTTAACCTGATTAATTATACGTTTTAGGTTTATGGTTGTATATGATACTAATTTACATTTTCAAGAGGTTTTACAATTTACAAAGCAGTTAAATCCTTTCAACTGCTCTGAGATAAGGTAGCACTTTTTTTTTTTTTTTTTTAAAAGAGGTCTTGGTATTCATGTCTTGATAAATGTTTTAGCATCTCCCCTACCCCCTGACTTTCCTGTCTCCCTTTTCGATTTGTTTTGGTTTTGAAGCTGTAGCTACAAAATGTGTCCATTGGGAAGAAAGCGATATCAATGCATTTGAACAAAAGGGCCCACTGATTGAAACCATCATAAAATATATGCGATGCTGTTATTAACTCCATTTTACAAATGAGGAAACAGAAGCCCAGAGAGATTAAGTGGTTTGGCCAAGATTAAATAACCATTAAATGGCACAGTCACTACAAGGTTCATTTAAAAAAAACATATACATTGAGCATTTAATGTGTCAGGCTGGGTAAGCAAGATACAGTGCTAGTTAACTCCTATGTAAGCACAAATTTCTATAACCAGTATATTACTTTCTAACCACCGTTATTGAAATTTTTTATTTTACTGTCTTCTGGAATTTTAGCAGCTGGACAATCAGTAAATACTTTTCTACTTACACAAGATTCATGTAACCAGATCTGTTTGGAGACTGATTAGACTAAAAGGTCTGAACTCAAAAGCATGTTTTGCATCATTTGTCTAGATTCTCTAAAGTAAAAGTAATTCTCAAATGTCTTCGAATGAACAAAAAATTGACAAGAGTATGAAGTTGACTGCATTACTGTATAATCAATTATTGGAACCTTGATTTAACAAGTTATTTTCATTTTCAGTCCAATGGCATACAAAGAGGAAATTTTATTCTTTGTAGTTTCTCCAAATTCTTTGTAAAGATTATGAAAGTAATTTGCGAAAAATAAGCGAATTGACATGGAATATAAGGTGAATAATACATTTTTAAAATGTAGTTGCGTATAATGGAAAACGTCAGTCTTGTATATTCAGCTAAAACAAACCATTAGTGCAAGACCTAAATATTAATGAGATCCGGGGTTTGCAACGAAATATCATTGCTCCTTTTTCCCCCAGAAGTTAAAAGAAACATGGGGAGAGCTTTTAAGTGAAAACTAAAGGTGCTGGTATCACAACTGGAAATGCAAGGATGCAGAAGAAATGGTAAGATGTGGGTGGGTAGTATCCCAGTAAACAACATATACCTTCTAACAGACTTGAGGTGGCTGTCAAGCCTTTCAGACATGTGATTGATAATGAATGTCAGAGAAGCGCTTCCTTTTCCATCAACGCTTCAGGAGACAGCGGACCGCCACCAACACGGGGCGAAAGCACGCCCCCTCCTGCCCTCGCAGCGGGGTCCCGCCCTTTCCGCCTTCCACTTCCTAGTAACCGTCCTCCCTTGCGCCATCTTCGCGGGCCCCGATTGGCTGATGGGGCAACCGCCAACGGCTGTGGCGTTTAAACCTGAGCCGCTGCTGCTGCTGCTTGCCGAGCGCCCTGAGCTAGGTGGGGGTGCCCCACGCTGAAAGAGAGGTAAGTTAGTGGCCTGCGGCGTTTGACGTGACCGCCCTCTCACTGTCGGGATCGGTGTCGTTCTTGAGCCGGTTCTCTAGGCGCTGTCCGCCTCGGTCTCTGGCTCGTCTTCCGCCCTCTGTCCTCCCGCATCCGGGACGGCGCCCCTCTCCGGCTCCGAGGGGTTCGTTGAGGGAGTCCTGTTTTGGCTTTGAGTCGCTGCCTCTTGTTTCTGAGATTTGAGCGTCCGGCAGGGCGAGCAGGGAGAGCCACCAGTTAGGTCAGCTACTTAAGGGAAGAAATTTCTGTCTCTGGGACTGCTCGACTCGCTTGAACAGTTTCTAGGGCATTGTGAGCGCTCAGTACGTGTCTGCGGAATCAATGTTAGGGACTGTGTGCCATAGTTCTCGAAGGAGCCCTCTCCTTTGGAGAGGCTGGCTGAAGGCGAAGAGGTGATGGAAGACTGGGGAGAACTTGGAACTTGGAACTTGAGCTACTTGATGTACAGGTGGGATTTCAGTAGAGAATAGGGACAATGTCCTATTCAGTAAAGATGTCCTGTTCTATCCTATTCAGTAGAGAATAGGACACATTTTTAGATGAGGTATCCAATTCAGGAGAATTGGATGTGGAACTGAGTATTTCGTATTTAGAGATAGTCGAGATGCTGGCCGGACAGGTGTCACAGAGTTGTAATAAATAGGTGCTGGTATTGAGTGCTGATTGTATACTAGGTCCTGTACTAGACACCGTACATACATTGGCTCATTTAGTCCCTACAAGGAGATGACCTGATTTTTTATGGTTTTATAAATCTGGAAATTGAGACGAAGAGGTGTTGAGATCACATAGCTATGAAACGTTGGAACTGGAGCTCCAACACAATTGTAATCACTATCATAATGTCTCAGTGTCTTCATGGTAAATCACCCTGGAGCAGTACTCCAAATGCCCGGTTCTGGCTCCTAAAGTTTCCCTTGGTAAGGTCATTGATGTAGGGACTGACAGGGCAATGTCAAGGAACACTCCCAGATTTCTGGCATGAGGATTTGAATAGGCGATTGACAGTGTCATTTATTAAATTAAGGAATTGTGTCAGAACCAGTTTATTGGGGAGGGCAGTCCAGCTGTGGTTTCCTAATTAGTAAAATGAGATTTGATATTCCAGACTGGATTTTTTGGGAGATGAACTAGATTTCTATGTTAGGATCCCTTTCAGGTGTGAGATGCAACAGTTTGAGGGGAGTTTCTGTGTTCTACTGTCTATGAGATAGATAGTGATGTTTGATTTTAAAGTTTCTTTTTGGCAAAACGTTTAAAAGAACCGTTGAGCCTTAATCTTGAAAAGTTTCTGGTTCAACTTATTCCCCATTGCAGAAATTTCTTCTGAAACCATCTTTCCATTATTTGCTTGACACCTCCCAACATCTGCTTAACACTTTCAGAGGAGACCCATTCCAAGAGTGGACAGTTTTTCTATTGGAAAGTTCTTCCATTCATTCATAGTCACTTCTTCCACAAATGTTTATCCAGCAGCTGCTATGTGGCAGGCATATTTCTGTACTAAGATACAGAAGCAAACAAACTTGACAAAAGTTTATGTCCTCATTGAACTTACAATTTAGTAGGAGAAAACAGATAATAAGTTAAATAAACTATTTAATTTTATCTTAGACATTGGTAAGTTAATGGAAAAAAATAAAACAGAAGGGGAGAATGGGGGTAAGTGTGCAATTTTTAAGTAGTTTGGACTGGGAAGTCTCACTAAGAAAGTGACATTTTGGCAAATGCTCGAAGGAAGTGAGCAAGCCCTGTGGTCATTTGAAGGAAGAGCTGATACAAAGGGAAAAAGGAATAAAATGACAGTATATTCAAGGATGGGAATTTTTAGGGAGGAGGGAAGATGAATGGTCTGCACACATGAATGTGTTGTAGCCTCTAGAAGGGGTGTGGAAGGAAAACAGCCCCTGCCTGACAGGAGAATCTGTGTCCTCAGGGTAGAAGGTGGTTCAAGAAGATGAAGAGAACATTCAGAAAAGAGATTGAGGCTGTAGAGGTTTGGTTGATGATGGAATGTGAGTTCTAGAGGACCTCATGGGTCTGGCAAGGGTAAGATATGCAGGCTGTATTCATTTCCTTTGGCTGCTTTAACAAATTATCATAAATGAGGCGCTTAAAACAACAGAAATGTATTTCCCCACAGTTCTGGAGGCCAGAAGTCTAAATTCAGTTATCACTGAATTTTTCACCCCTCAAAGTGTATTCCCAGCTGCACTCTCTCTGGAGGCTCTTCAGGAGAATCTCTTCCTTGTTTTGTCAGTTCCTGATGGCTGCTGGCAGTCCTTGGCATGTGGCTGCATCACTCCTGTTTCTGCTGTCTTTTGTAAGGACTCTTGTGATAGTATTTAGGCCTGCCTGGATAATCCAGATTGATCTCCCCATTACAAGATCTTCAACTTATTCAAATCTGCAAAGGCTGTTTTTCCACATGAAGTTTAAAATTAAAGGGATCTAATAACTTTGGGGGGCCATTTTCCAGCTTACCACAGGACCAGATGAGGAATGTGTAGAGCTGAGGGGATTCGAGTGAGGGGGATGAATGTGACCCAGGAGTTGAGGGATTCTTGCCGTGATTGACATAGTGAGCTGAGTCCTGTGGACTCAAGGCAGGTAGTGGTGGGGAGGCTGAGTACTGAGGGTTAGGCAGGTGCAGGGGACGGGTTTTTTTTTTTTTAGATCTCTGCAGATGGAGGTAAGGAGGCTTGGGAAGGAAATGGAGCCATGGGGAGGTTGGTCTTACATAACTCAACATCAAGCGCTCCTTCTCAGTGAAGCTATTTCTGATCCTTTTCCTCTGCCCAGGCACAGTTAATCACTTCTCCTCTGCATTGTGTATTGTAGCTATTACTCTTGTAATACTATAATGTAATGATTTGTTTATCTTCCTGTTTCTATAATAGGCCAGAAATCTAATAGACAAATTTAAGATTTCCTATTTCTCCAACCCCCTTCCCCACCTTGGATTAGGTATATCTCTTCTGTACTTCCTTTAAACTCTATGTATATTTCTAAGGTTACACTTCTTACATTGTATGAAAGCACTGTCTGTACCCACATTCCATGCATTCCATGAGAGCAGAGACCATATCCTGTCATCTGTCCCCTGCACCTGGTATATAGATGATTAATATAGGTTTAAATGAAAAAAATAATTTACCTTTTTGGATTATACCTTAAGCCACTTTTGATTACATTCATACTTTCAGATTTTATACAAAGTTTAGCAAATACTTAATGCACAGAATATATTCAGTCATGATTATTACTTTTTAAAATGTATTTATCAGTTATACTTTTTCTTTTATTAATCAATACTATGATATTTTTTTCTTTCACTTCAGTAATGGCGTGCCCAGTGATGGAAACTGGCTCACTTTTTACCTCAGGAATTAAGAGACATGTGAAAGACAAAAGAATTTCAAAGACTGCTAAGTTGAATGTTTCTCTTGCTTCAAAAATAAAAACAAAAATTCTAAGTAAGTGCCACTAGTTTTAAAATACACTCACATTTTAACTTTTCCCCAGAATTGTTTTATGTTTTCTACCTTATTTTATCAAGTACAGAAAATTACTAAGATGACTGTTTTGTTAACTGATAACTATTTAAATTTGATCCTTCCTATCTCTTTCGACTCCTGTTAGTTGGGTGGTTTTGATGATTTACCCTAAGTGTGACAGCCGAATTTTCAGCAGTGAGGCTGCAGTGGCCCAAGACAGCTAGTTTCTACAGCGCAGAAAAAAATACCAACAAGATTTTTCTGGAAAAGACGTAATAAGTGTAGCAGGTTGTTCTGGCATGTTGTGGCAACTGGATGATGGGTAGCCTAGAGGAGGTTGGCTCACACTGGGTGCTTTTATATATATGTGTGTGTGACTTTATATAGGCAATCTTATGAAGACACTGAGCACTTTGGAAATGGAATTTCATGAATTCTGGAGTTAAGGCATCAGACGGGCAAAAAAAAAAAAAAAAAAAAAAAAAGGAGGTGGGAAAACTCCAAGATAAATTTTCATTACTTCTGAACATTATCTCAGTGTTCATAACCATCTTAGCAGGAGTCGGGGGAGGTATCCTTTTAGTCACATTATCTGCTGATACAGCTCTGCGAAGGACAATCACATGTGACTTCTAAAACAACCCAGCCTCCTGGGTGCCTGTAAATCATGATGCAGCTCCCACCCAGGTCTCTAGAGCCACTTCTTACACTGGCTCTTGCTTCCTCCCTTTGGCAAGACTATTCCATACCCCATGTTACGAAGGAATATGCTGACTTTGAGGAGTACAATAGGAAAATGTTATTACTCTTTATCTTCTGGAAATCCTAAGCTGGTTCTAGTCAATTTCCATTTGCTCTGCCAAGGATGGCTATCCAAAACTACTCTCTCTGCCAAAGGTAAAGTACTGTTTTGGACACTGTTTTGCAGAATCCCAAGTTTTCCCTGAGTACTTACAAAATGTTATTAAATTTTATAAAACTTATTTCACATACACTAGACTTTTATTCAGTGGCATATGTTATTGAATGGTGACATGTAAGTTAAAATTATGAAAATATAATGATATTTTAAATGTACTAAGGGAACACACTGTATTTAAGGTAAGCTCTACCAATGAATTCACAAGGAAATTTCTTTGCTTCCAACAGAAAAGCATTTCAGGAGTGATTTAAATCATATTTACATAGTGCTTTTAAAGAGAAGTCAAATTTAGATTGCAGTAGATGCCTAGAAATAAGAGGTAGGATCTTTTAGATGGTAGTAAGAGGTCCCACGGGGTTTAGATTATCCGTCTAACATTAGAGTAAGTATGCCTCTGTCACTCAAAGTTTGAAAATGGACTTTGGGAGTATTAAGTAATTTCTTCAATTCTGGAGCTGTAGAAACTGGCTTTAGAATTTTCACAGATTGGCTATCCTCATTCCTATGGGACATTTCTAGTTAGAGCTGCAGAATCAGTTTCTCCATTCTGTCTGCTAGTCAAACGTAGGAAAGCAGGTCGAGCAGCAAGTATCAATATTTAGTTTTTGTGACTGATCTAATTATGTAGAATGCTGTGTCTGTGCTGCAGTCCTCTTATTCCTAACTTTTTATATATATTCTGCATTCCTCACAACTCTTGAATTCATCCTCTTCTGTCTAGCTTTCATTTCTTCAGCTCTAAACTGTGAGTTTATTTTTCTCAAAACTACGTCTGTATTGTTATTCTCTTTTCCAATCTTCAGTTAAAACTTATAAAGTGAAATGCATTTTGTCTAATGTAGTTTTACTAAGGAATACAAAAATTAGGTGTAAGTTCAATATTAACTCATTTTAAAAATCTTTTTACAGATAATTCTTCTATTTTCAAAATATCTTTAAAGCACAACAACAGGGCATTAGCTCAGGCTCTTAGTAGAGAAAAAGAGAATTCTCGAAGAATTACAACTGAAAAGATGCTATTGCAAAAAGAAGTAGAGAAACTGAATTTTGAGAACACATTTCTTCGCCTAAAGCTGAATAACTTGGTATGGAAGCTATGTTGTTTTTGAATTCTAATTATAACTTAAATCTTTTAGCTGCATTATTATAGAAGCTCTAAAAATATTTTTCAGATCTCTAATTGTGAAAAATTATTGAAAGTCAGTATGCCATGCAAGTCTATGTTAAAGGACAAACTGTTAATGGGTAATAAAACATGTGTTTTAAATCTGCATTCTAAATGTGTGCTTGTGTGCTGTGTAAACCAGTATAATACCTTGACCAACATTTGATTGCTAATCATAAGCAAAGCTTGGTACATTAATACATTTTTAAAAGACGGTCATAGTTCTTCCAGTGTTCTTGAAAGGAAAGGAGTTCCCAGAATGTTGTTATTCTTTTTTAATCTCAGCATTTACCTGGCCACAAGCCAAACAGAATGAAGATTATAGTTGTTTCTTTTCCTTCCAAATTTCAACTCTGTTCACAGACAGGGCAGTGAGAGCCAATGTTTAGCTAGGCTACAACTATAGATCTAAATCTAAAATAAGTAGAACTTATTTATAATGGAAAAAGGACCTACTCTACTTGTGGGTTAAATTACTGTGGCTGACAAACTGTTCTCTTGCCATGTGATATATTAGTATGAGAAGATAGAAAAATGTTTATAGGAAAATGTATAATTGTTAGTTCCAAAGCATTCAACGTGTGTGTGTGTGTACATGTATGTATGTATGATATGTATGACTATTTGGACTATATAACACTATTTGGTACTATATAATGTACCATTTTAGCTGAATGTGATCTCAATTTTTAGCTCAATGTGATATCAATTATTTTTTAAGTTTTCTCACATGGATGGCATTCATAAACGCTTGATATTATAAAACATTCCAAGTCTTAACTGATTAAAAGGGGTCTTTATTTTACATGTGCAGAATAAGAAGCTTATAGACATAGAAGCTCTCATGAACAATAACTTGATAACTGCAATTGAAATGAGCAGTCTTTCTGAGGTAAGTAGAATTTATATGTAAATAGTGTCATTCTTTAGATTACAGAGGATCACTGAGATTACTTAAATAACATCAAGGTTGGAGATTCATATTTCAAGTTTTGTGCAAAGGACTGATGATAATATCAGTTTTAACTGGCTAACAGCATATTATCATTTTGTATAATTGGTTATTGAAAATGTCATATGAAAATTAAGTTTTTATTAAAAGTAACAGGATTAGACAGGTTAGTGGAACATACTGGCTCCTAAACGGACTAAGAAACATGAAGACATTAGTAGAAAGGAAGCATTTTAAGTGAGGAAAGACTTTGGGGTTTTTGTTTGTTTGTTTGTTTCAAAGATGGACACAATTGAAAAACTGGGGAGAAAAATAGAGGGTGGTCCTACTTTATACTGTTTTCTAAAACAAATTCTAAATTTTCCAAATGCTTTTCATGTGGTTCTTTTTGGAGAATTCAGAGGGCTGAGGTCAACATCTAGATTAAGGAAAAGTAAAATCTGGACAGCAGGTAGATGGAGAAGCTGGAGGTGAAGGCATAGTATACAATCTTGGTAGCTACCTTCTCGAACTTACTATTTAACAGACTAACTTTTGCATACCAAGCTTTAAAATTCTTTTTCTTTCTAGTTGTTATTAAGTGGGGCAGGTGATGGGTCATATAGACATACTGTTCTGACATCAGAATGAGGTAAGAAAAGTATAGAATAAAGTTTCACACATGCTTTTGTCCACCTTCAGCTACTTTCTTCTCCATTCTCTCTTCTCCTTGTACCTCATGCAGGTGATTGCTTTCATCTGTTTATTTATAGAAAAACAAACAAATAAACAAAATAAATATTTTCTTTTCTTCTTTACACAAAAGATACCATGCTATACCAGATGTTCTATACCTTACTTTTTATGTGACATATCTTGGGGATTTCTCCAAATGATTACGTGGAGTGATTCCTCATTCTCTTTTGGTGCTGCTTTGGATAGATCTAGAGTGGACTTGTAATCTACCTCACTAGGCTCCTGTTGTTGGACACTTGGGTTGTACTTTGCTGTTGGCTTGTGTTAGTATAGAGTGCCTTTCCCTCTTGCATCATTAACTTTTTTCCTCCCTTCTGAATTATTCCCATCAGGATGCAAAAATGTTATCATCTCTCATCTTAAACAAACAAACAAATAAACCTCTTATTCCACCTATTTGCCAGCTACTATCTCAGCTCTCTTCTTGCCTCTACAGCAAAGCTTTTTGAGAGATTTATTCACTATTTCTAGTTTCTCTTGATCCCATTCCAACTGGGTTTTCACCACCAATCCACTAAATCCTGAAAGTCACCATTGATGTCCATGTTGCGAAAACCCATGGATAATTCTTGGTTCTTATATTGACTTCTTATGAGTTTTAGAATACTACACTCTACTAAGTCTGTTCCTACCCTTCTGGCTATTCTTTTTCAGTCTGTTTGCTGGTTTCTCTTTGTTTTCCTAAGTTTTGGGAATGCCTTATGACTTAGTTCTTGGACTTCTCTTTTCTATCTACGTTCACTCCTCCTAAATAATTTTATTCTATCTTACGGTTTTAGTTACTACTGTATACTGATGACTTTCAAATTTGTAATTCCAGCCTGACCATCTCCTCTGACCTCCAGACAATTTATATCTAATTACCTACTTGGCATCTGGACGTCTAAAAGGCATCTCAAATTTCACATTTGCCACCAAACCAGTTCCTTATGAGATTTTCATCTAAGATAATCACAACTCTCTTTTCCTATCTTTTTCTCACACCCTATATCTGATGCTTTGGCAAATCATTTTAGTTCTGCCTTCAAAATCAGTCTACAATTCTACCAGTTCTCACAACCCTCTTTCACTACCCATGTCCAAGGCACCATTATCTCTCACTTACATATGGTATTAATAATAGCATCCCAACTTGGCCTTCTTTTTCTCTTGTTTCTCTATGTATTCTCTTCTTATTATAACAGCCAGAATGATCCTGTTAAAATGTTAGTCTCTGCTTGAAACTCTCCAGTGGAGTCTTATCTATTGCTTGATATGATCTGAAAACTGAAACTCTTGTTATTTCTTCCACCTCATTTACTACTCTCCTGTTTCTTCCACTCCTTAACCTTTTCAGTGCCGTTCTCTTCCCATTCCCTCAAACAGAGGTAAGTTGCTACCGCAGTGCTTTTGTACATATTCTGTCTGCATGCAACAAGTTCTTGTCCTTCAAATGTTGACTCAAAAGTGACTACAGTGAAGTCTTCCCTGGCAACTCTGCATAAATTTAAACACTCCCAACCCTTGTACCAACATTTCATATCCTGCTTTTCTTCTTTCATCTTTCTCCTTAACACTGTATGACAATTTTTTTTATTGTTCATCCCATCAGAAGGTAAGCTTTTTGAGTGCAGGGATGTCTTTACCAGAACAACATCTAGAACATAGTAGGATGCAATACACATGTATAAAATATTAGGTAGTGTTTCCCCAGTAAGAATGATGCTTGTTTTGTATATAAATAAGTAAGGTCCGTATGTTTCCTATAGTCCCTCTTTGATTGAGCTTTCTAAATAAAAATAATGCCAAATAATGTAAGTATCTTTTTAGCATGATGATGATGTGGTCTTTTTAGGTGTCTTAGTATGATTATTTATTTTAGTAACTTTCCTAATTTTACATTTCTGTAATAAACTTCAGAAGTGATTTATTTTTCATTTAATGCGCTGTTGAATTCTTTTTTGCCAGTTTTGTTTAGGATTTTTCTATTGTTATAAGTGAGGACTCTGAAGTTTTTTTTCTACGCATGGAAAAAAACTAAGACCGTACAGTCTTTAGGCATTGATAACAATGATATATATACTAAGCTCATAAAAAGAATTTGGATGTCTTACTTTTTCTGTGTTCTTGAAAAGTGATACAGTATTATAATTGTTTTTCTTTAAAGATGTGGTAGAATTATTCTGTGAAACCATCTGGATCTGGGACTTTTTTGATGAGAGTGATAGTAGCTTTTTGTTGACTTTATTTATCCTATGGATATTGGTCCCCTTAGGAAAATGTCTTTCTTTCGTATTTTGTTTTATTGAATTATTTTTCCTTAGAAAGTTAAATGTTTAATCTAAGCTTTTTAATTGATGTTTACAGAGTTGACCAGAGTCGTCTGTCATTATTCTTTAATTTCGTCTGTGTTGTATTTCCCCAGTTGGTTAATTTTGTGTATTTGCGCTTTATTTGTCTTCCCTGCCCCCCCCCCCCCCCACTATCTTAGGTTGTTGTGGTTTTTCTATTTTATTTTATTCTTTTTTAAAAGAACTATCTTTCTAATTTAATTTAATGTTTGATGTTTCAAACATTTTTTGCTTTTATTTTTAACAAGTTATTTTGCCTTTTTGTGCTTCATTGTTACTTTTCTAACTTGGAGTCAATGCTTTTTTTATTGTTAACTGTAGGTAAGATGCCATTTCTCTCTCAATACTTTCAATTTTTTAAATTGTCTTTAGTTTTGAGAATTTTGACTTTGATGTGTTTTGCCTTGAATTTCCCTGGGTCTATCTTTTTGAGGTTCACTCAGCTTCTTGAATTTGTAGGTTCATGTCTTTATCAAGTTTGGAAAAATGTTCAACCATTATGTCCCCAAATACTTTTCCAGTTCTGCACTCTTTCTCTTTCTCCTTTCCTTCTAGGACTCTGATGACATGAATGTTTTATCTTTTTTGCTATTCCACAAATCCCTAACCCTCTGTTATTCTTTTCAGTCTCTTTTCTCTCTTGTTCAGTTTGGGTAATTTCTATTGTTCTATCTCCAAGTTCACAGATTTTTTTCCCCCTTTTGTTTTCTTGGTTTTGCTGTTGAGCCCATTTAATTTGTTTTATTTGGTTATTACATTTTTCAGTTCTGAGCTCCATTTGGCTCTTTACATCTGTTTGTTTGCTGAGATGTTCCATTTTTTCATTTGTTTTAATCATGTTAGTAATTGCTTGTTGAAGCATTTTTATGATACCTTTTTTAAAATCTTCGTCAGATAATTCTAACATCTGTGTCATCTCAGTGTTGGTATCTATTGTCCTTTCTCATTCAAATTTAGAGTTACCTGATTTTTGGCATGACGAGTGATTGATTTTCGATTGTATCTTGCGACATTTTAGGTGCATTATAAGACATTGGATCTTATTTCCATCTTCTGTTTAAGGAGACCTCCTTTGACACTACACTGGTGGTAAGGGGAGGTGCCGCCTACTGCCAAGTGGGTACTGAAGTTTAGACTTCCCATTCAGCCTCTGTTGACAACACTATGGTGGGCATAACTGATGAATGGAGCTGGGAGTTCAGGCTGACACCACTGTGGCTGGAACAGGGAAGGGCACTTCATTACTTTCATGGCCTCTGCTGACATGAGGATGAGGAGGATAATGAAGGGGGGAGGTTGTTACTCCTGAAGAGTGATGAAAATCCTAGTTCTTTATTAAACCACTTCTATCCCCACCATAGAGGAGAGGGAGGGGAACTCCTTCCTATCACTGAATGAGGATGTATAGCATATATACATTTTATTTTCTGTGTATTATGATGTTTTTACATCTTTAAAAATATTATTGGCTACAGACACTGCCCTTCTCAGGGCTAGCCAATTTTTAGAGATAGCAAGGGACCAGCTAGGAGCTTGTCTTTTGTTTTAGTCTGTTTTCTGCTGCTATAACGGAATACCACATACAGGGTAATTTATCGTTTTATTTTCTTGTTTTCATTTGAGATTTCATTCTCTAAAAAGACTGGGTAATTTATAAAGAACAGAGATTCATTTGGTTCACAGTTCTGGAGGCTGGGAAGTCCAAGAGCATGATGCTGACATCTGGCATGTGTCATCCCATGATAGAAGGTGGAAGGGCGAGAAAACATGCAAGACAGAAAAGGAGACCAGACTCCTATAACTAACTCACTCCTGCAATAACAGCATTAATCCATTCGTCAGGGCAGAGCTCTCATGACATAATCACCTCTTAAAGGTCCTGCCTCTTAATACCATCACAATGGTAATTCAGTTTCAACATGAGTTTTGGAGGAGACATTCAAACCATAGCACTTTTGACATGCAAGCTAACTAATCCAGAGCCATACCTCCCCTGTCTGGCCCTTATATCTCAGGAGGCAATGGTCCTCTGCTTTAATTGTCCCTGGGTCAGGTACTAGGCAACCAGGGACCTACCTCTCCTATGTCTTAGAGCCTGCCAGAATTATTCAAACTAGCCAATTCTAGACTATTCACCCTGCCCTGCCTTGCCTTTCCTGTGGAAACTCCGATAATAGGCTCTGGCCTAAACCTTCCCCTCGTTCTCATCTTCTGCCTCCTGACCATCCTAGTGTCTTTTCTGTGTGGCTCTGCATGGCCTGCTGTACCTCTTGTCTCTAGGACCTGTGAGTATAATAAATTTTATTTTTTTCCTGAGTCTCTGCCTTCTTTTAATGGCTGCACCCAACTGACCATCTCATAAAAAGAATATGAAACAGGATAGAGATCCAAATATGTCCTCCACTGACATTGCTGGGTGGGGATGTACTCTAACACTGGGCTGTCCCAAGTCTTTTTTGATGGTACCCCAGATTTGGAAGAGAGTTGTCGTCTTATAGCCTGGTGAGTGTGGAAGTTTAGGTTCCCCATTTGACCTTTGTGCTTTTGTCAAAAATTAATTGGCCAAATATATTGAATCCATTTCTGGACTCTCTGTTCTATGTCATTGATCTATTTGTCTATCATTATGCTAATACTATACTGTCTCAATTACTGTAACCCTCCTAACTTTTTTCTTTTTCAAAGTTTTTGTTGTTGTTGTTGTTTTAGCTATTCTAGGTCTTTTGCATTTTCATATGAATTTTAAAATCAGCTTGATAATTTGGCGCCATTCCCTTGTTTCTATTACAGCTTAGCTCTGTAATAAGAAACATGGTTGTGTGTTGCCTAATTTTCTGGTCTTTATTAATAATTAAAAACATGTTTGTATCTGAAAATTTAGAAATGTGGATAAGCAAATATATAAAAGATATATTAAAATCACCCAGATTTTGAATTTTAAAAGGCCATTTAAAAGATGTATTATAAAATTCAATAAAATATTACATAACACATAGACATGAACATATTGCATGTATGTAAAGATATTGTATTTGTGTAGGTATAGTCATGTATTTATTCCTACACATGGAGGAATGTTGAGGTTATTTACCAAAATATTGGCAGTGATTATCTTTCGTTGGCATGATTAAGGATGAACTGTGTTTTAACCTTATCACATTATTCTCATTAAACTATTAAAGGCAAATGCAAGAAATGTTCTTTTGCTATTAATGTCATTGTATAATTTGGTACTGTGGTAACTAACATGATTTAATAAGGTTAGAAACTTTCTGTTTTCTTTATTCTTTTCAAAAATAGTTCCATCAGAGTTCCTTTCTACTGTCAGCTAGCAAGAAGAAACGAATTAGTAAACAGTGCAAGTTGATGCGTCTTCCATTTGCAAGGTAAATATGGGCTGGAATTACACTAGTTCAGAGTATATAGATTTTATATAACACAATTAGTGTTTGTATTGTACAATGTTCAGGATCATCAACCGGTAGTTATCTACTAAGGTAGAAATGAGGTAGTTTGTAGTGTCTTGCTATAGGTTGTTTCTCTAGGAATTCGAGGAAACTTACACTCAATCCCCAAACCAGGTTTATTTGTAATGTCTTGCCACTTTACAGTTCTTTTTTTTCTTTTCATCTAGTTCACACCTGGCCTCATATTGATTTCTCCTGGGTAAATCTGAATACTGTTTCTACCTTTATTATCTTGTGTACTGTCCTAAGCTTTAAAATTAACTTTTGTCGGCTGGCCGGGCATGATGGCTCATGTCTGTGATCCCAGCACTTTGGGAGGCTGAAGTGGGAGGACCACGAGATCAGGAGATCAAGACCATCCTGGCTAACACAGTGAAACCCCATCTCTACTAAAAATACAAAAAATTAGCCAGGTGTGGTGGCGGGCGCCTGTAATCCCAGCTACTCAGGAGGCTGAGGCCGGAGAATGGCGTGAACTCAGGAGGCAGAGCTTGCAGTGAGCCGAGATTGCGTCGCTGCACTCCAACCTGGGTGACAGAGCGAGACTCCGTCTCAAAAACAAAACAAACAAAAAAAATTAACTTTTGTCTTTGCTCTTCTCCTCCTGTCCACAATTCTTATTTTTGATTAATTTGATTATAAGTTATAGAAAGCACCCTATTTCAAATCTATTATTTTACAAGTCAGTCAGTGACGCTCAGAAAGGCAAAATGATTCAATGGATTGATAGCATTGACCAAAATCCTTTTATCTCTTTTAGAAATGTTCTTTCTATTATATATAACTTATAGATTTAATGCTTTTACTTAAGTGCACAAGTAAATGTACTTATTTATTGAAATGCTATCTATGCCATAGTAAAAAACACTCATATTTACTGTATCACTTTCTATTCATTATAGTTAGTTCCATTGACTTGCTTATTATGTGTGTCACTACCATTTTGTACCAATACATTTTAATTGTTATAATTTTAAAATAGTAAATTTTGTTGTTTATTAGATCCTTAGTAGTTTTTCAAAAGTATGTTGTCATTATGCACATATTGTTTCATATAGATATGCAAATCAAGTGTCAACTTATCCTCCAAAAAATTTTATTGTGTGTTTTTAAGTGAACTTTTGTTGGAATTATACACATTCAGACATAGTAGATTTTCACCAAGTGAACACTGTTGTGTAACAAATACCCAGAACAAGAAACAGAATATTACCAACATCTCAGATACTTCCTTGTGTCCCTTTCTAGTCATTACCCACTACCCAACACCTACCCAAGGATAAATATTATGCTGACTTCTAATTATAAACTGATTAATTTTGCACGGTTTTGAACTTCATATAATGAAATTATACAGTATGTATGTTTGTCTCTGTCTTCTTTTGCCCAGCATTATGTTTGTGAGATTCATCCATATTGCTGTATGTAGTTGTGAATTATTTGTTCTCATTGCTGTATAGTATTCCATTATATGATTATACTACAATATATCCATTTTTCTTATGGTGAACATTTTGTTGGTTTTCCAGTTTGTTTTTTTGAGACAGAGTCTTGCTCTGTCACCCAATCTGGAGTGCAGTGGCACGATCTCGGCTCACTGCAACCTCCACCTCCAGGGTTCAAGTGATCCTCCTGCCTTAGCCTCCCAAGTAGTTGGGATTATGGGCACTCACCACTCTGCTTGGCTAATTTTTATACTTTTAGTAGGGACAGGATTTTACCATGTTGGCCAGGCTGGTCTCACTCCTGACTTCCAGTAATCCTCCCACCTCGGCCTCTGAAAGTGCTGGGATTACAAGCATGAGCCACCACACCTGACCTGGTTTTCTAGTTTTTATCTATTACAAATAGGGCTGCCACATATATGCCTTTTGATGAAGGTATGCACATATTCTGTTAGGTATATAGTGTGGAGTAGAATTACTTGGGATATATATTTATATCTCTTTGGCTTCAGGAGAAACTGCTAAGTAGTTTTCTAAAGGAGTTATACCAATATACATTATTACTAGCATATATAAGGATTCCTGTTCTATATCCTCAACAATTCTTGTTATTGTCTGTCTTTTTCATTTTAGTCATTTTGTGGGGTATGTAGTGGTATCATGTTGAGGTTTTATTTTTAATTTTCCTGATAACTAAGAAGTTAAGTATCTTCATATGTTTACTTTCTGTTGGGTTATCTGTCATATTTTTTAAGGTGTTCCTTGTATATATTTTTTTGTATGTAAGACAGGGTCTCACTTTGTCACCCAGCCTGGAGTGCAGTGGTGCAATCTCACCTCACTACAGCCTTGACCTCTCAGGCTCAAGCGATCGTCTCTCCTCAGTCCCCCAAGTAGCTGGGACTACAGGTGCATGCCACCATGCCTGGCTAATTTTTGTACTTTTTGTAGAGACAGGGTTTTGCCATGTTTCCCAGGCTAGCCTTGAACTCCTGAGCTCAAGTGATCTGCCCACCTCAACCTCCCAAAGTGCTAGGATTACAGGTGTGAGCCACTATGCCTGGCATATTCTTTGTGTATCTTCTACTCTGTGGCTTGTCCCTTTGCTCTCTTAATGGTGTCTTTAGATGAAAAGTAGCTCTTTATGAAATCCAACTTTGTTTGCAGCAGGGAGATGTGTATCTTCTCCCTCACCCCCCTTTTCGGTTACTAACTTTTGTGTCCTTTAAAGAAAATCTTTATTGGTTCTGGTTCTAAAATGGCAGTGTAAAATAAGCTGGCTTCTCTTGCCCCAACAAAAACGAACAAACAAATACAGTACCAAGATCTTCCACCAGCAACAGCCCAGAGCTCAAGCTAGACGAGATACTTCCTGAGGCCAAAGAGAGGTGGAAAAACTCTGAGCAGATGGTAGGAGAACTGCACTTAGACATATGCGATGCCCTTCCCTCCCATTCTGCCAGGCCCCAAATGTGCGGAAAATCTCCCCTCAACTCACAGTTTCTGTACTGGAAAAAGCAAAATTGAAATGGTCAGCCAGCTTCCCCACCTTCTTCAGTTCCCTGTCAAAACTGTCCTTGCCTTAACTGACGGGTAGTATTGTGACTGCCTGAAGGGAAAAATATCCTGAGGACAGGCAGAGACAAACAAGCAAGGCTGGACTACAATCCCCAGCCCAGAAACTCTGCTCTGTAATTCAGCCAAAGGAAGCGCCAGATGAGAGTGGTTGTAGGAGGTACATTCCCCAGGTCCCCTGGGTGTGAACTCCTAGCTAGCCTTCCCACACTGCTGTCCTAAACCCTTTGGGACCTCCCCCGTTTTGGGACAGGCAGTGGTCAAACCATTTACTAGCTCCAATGTGAACCTAGGTTGAAGGCACCACCTAGAGCCAAAAAGGAGGCAGCAAACTAGCAGTGAAGATTTGCTAAGCAGATATATTCAATAAAATCCAAAACAAGCTGGACAAAGCAAACTGGAATAAATAACTAATCCTTCAAGGCAAAGACATAGACATATACACACAAGAAACTACAGCAAACAAGGAACCATGACCTTCCCAAAAGGACAAAAAGCAGAAATTTAGTGATTCTAATGAAGTGGCAATTTGTGAGTTCTTGGACCAAGAATTCTAAGTAGTAGTTTTAAGGAAACTCAGTGATCTTCAAGATAACACAGAAAAGCAGCTCAGAAATTTATCAGAGAAATTTAACAAAGAGATTAAAATAATAAAAAAAGTCAAACAAATCCTGGAACTGAGAAATACATTTGCTGAACTATAAAACTCTTTAGAGGTTCTCAACAGCAGAATGAACCAAACAGAGGAGCTGGAATGAACCAAACAGTGAGCTGGTTTGAAAATACACAGTCAGAGAAGAAAAATAAATAGAAGGAAAAGGAATGAAGAGTGCCTACAAGATACAAAAAATTACCCCAAAAGACCAAATCTAAGAATTATTAGTGTTTAAGAGAGAGCCGAGCATGAGCAAGGCATAGGAAGCTTATTCAAAGAAATAATAACAGAAAATTTTTCAAGACATGAGAAAGATATACATATCCAGGTAAAGGAAGGCCTGAGAACACAAAACAGATTCAGTGCAAATAAGACTATTCCAAGGCATGTTCAAATCAAACAATCAAACTCTCAAAGGTCAAAGACAGAGAAGATCCTAAAAGCAATGAGCGATAAGAAGCAAATAACAGATAAAGGAGCTCCAATTCATGGAGCAACAGACTTCTCCACAGAAACCATGCTGGCCAGGAGGGAGTAGAACAACATTTTTGAAGCACTTAAACAACAAAAAACTGACACCCAAGAATATTGTGTCCAACAAATTGTCATGCAAATTTAAAGGAGAGCTAAAGTCTTTCACGCATAAACAAAAGCCAAGGAAACTGACCACCACCAAGACCCATCTTGCAAGAAATGCGGAAGGGAGTTCTTCAATCTGAAAGAAAAAAACACTACCATGCAAAAGGAAAGTTTTTAAGGTATAAAACCCACTGGTAAAATTAAGTACACAGACAAACCCAGAATACTTTGTTAACTGTATTTATGGTGTGCAATCCACTCAAACTCTAGTATGAAGCCCAAAAGATAAATGTATCAAAACTATACCAACCTGTTAATAGATAATATAAAGATATGTAAATTGATACAACTAAAAGACAAAATGTTGGAGGATGGAGTTAAATTATAGAATTATTTTGTGGGTTTTTATGTAAATTGTCTCAGTTCTTCAATTAAAAGCCATAGAGTAGCTGAATGGATAAATAAATGAGACCTACCTATGTGCTGCCTTCAAGAAACCCACTTCACCTATAAAGACACATATAGACTGAAAGTGGAGAAGGACTAGAAAAAGATATTCCATGCAACTAGAAAACAATAAAGAGCAAGAGTAGCTGTACTCATAGCAGATAAGATAAACTACAAAGACTGTAAAAACTGGCAGTGAAGAAGGGTCACTATATGAT